CCTGTGGAAGTGCAGGGCAGGCATCGGGGTGTATCTCTGACAGGAATGGCATTCCTGGGTACCAGCGGGCTCTGAGGTGACCTGGGAGTGCTGGGAGGGTGGGGAAGGGCAGGTGGTGTTGCCAGGCCCTGTAAGATTTGATTTGAGGACTAAAACATACAGATATAAAGCAGGTCTGTAACCCGTGGAGTGCTGCATCCCGCTGCTCCTCATACCTGAGCAAATACCCATTGTCAATATTCACTCGCCCACTGAAAATTCCCCTTTCCATCAGAAACTAATCACAAACATGCATAAAAGAAATGCATTTGTGGACAAGATACTTCTAACAGCCCCACACCACCAAGTTCTCTACAAGCAAATAGGATACAGGGCATATTTTTTTGATTTTGTGTTTTCTGGACATGAAGACTGGGAAGAAGAGTGGGAACTGTTCCTGCTGTATATCCATGAACTGCTGACAGGAATGACAGAGTGATATGAGTGCAGGGCTGGGAAGCAGAAACCTCCCCTGGAGCACAGTTTCAGTTTAGAAAGTTTTCCCCCTTAAACAACAGCTAATTATCTGGAGCTTTCCACTGAAAATCTTCATTTTCCCTCCATCCAAAGCTCACAACTGTGCAGGACAAGAAGCATGCCCCTGCTAACCAGATTCCTTAGAAGCTTGTTCCTCTTGTTGTGGATCCCCAACGCTGTGTTCCCCCTGTCTGCTCCTGCTGGTGGTTCAATTCTCCTTTGCCAAAGGGACACGAGGGGCACTTGGAGACAACAGGACTGGCAGTGCCTCTGAGAGCTGTGACAACAGCAGCTCTGGGACAAATAAAGCTGGTTTCTATTTTTAGAGCTGAATTGCAGCACTTTGTGGGAGTTTGTAAGCAAAACAAGTCACGTTGTGGGCAGTGTTGTAAGTGACCTACAGCAAGAGCCCAGCAGTGGTTTGCATCACTCAAAGAATTGGGGTTTGTTTTCTGGCTGGCAAGTGCTCAGGAGGAACATTCCTCTGGCAGCTTCCATGGGCTGAGCTGTACAAAAATGGGAATGGACTTAAAAACCCTGAAGTTAGTAAGTAAAGATGAGCTGAAGGGATTTTCATGCTCTGCTTTTCTGATTCACACTGGAAGAGGTCGGAGTTTTTTCCACTGTAAGACAGAAGCAAACCAGCAGCACTCTGGGTTTGAGCCCTGGCTCGTCCCTGTCCAGCTGTGCCAGCACAGGTCCTGAGCTCCCTGTGGCACTGAGCTCAGGGCGGGCAGGATCAATCCCCTGTGCAGCCACCACAGAACAGCACAGGGTGTGTGGGGACGGCTGAGGAACGTGACAGACACGGCCCGGGACACGGCACGGCCCCGCCACGGCAGCGGCCACACCACACACAGCTTCTTTATTAATGCTCCAGTGCAATAAAATCAGAGAGTCGGCAAATCCCACAGGGTTTGGGCTGCAGGGGACCTTAAGGCTCCTCGTGTCCCATGTCACAGCCTGGGCGAGCAGCAGCAGCGTGGACAGGACCAGGAGCAGCTGGGTGGTTAATGATGAACCTGATTCTGAGAAACGCTCAGCATGAAATACAGGCACGGCTCGATTTCCAGGGGCAGCCAGGGAGGTCAATGACCAACCCTCGGTGGGATGGAGACGGAGCGCTCAGATTTCAGCGGGGTTTGAGCCTGGGTCTGCACAGGAGAGCAGCAGTCATGGAATCACCGAATCATTTGGGCTGGAAAAGCCCTCGCAGCCCAGGGAGTCCCAGCTGGGCCCCATCCCCACCTTGTCCCCAGCTCTGAGTGCCACTTCCAGGAGTTCCTGGGACACCTCCAGGGATGGGGATCCAACCCTCCCTGGGCAGTTCCAGTTCCTGAGCCCCTTTCCATGGGGAAATTCCTGCTGCTGCCCACCCTGAGCCTGCCCTGCCCAGCCTGGGGCCATTCCCTCCCCTCCTGTCCCAGTTCCCTGGAGCAGAGCCCGACCCCCCGGCGGTCCCCTCCTGGCAGGAGTTGTAGGCTCATTTTCCCAAATCAGTCCCAAAATTCCCACTGTTTCACACTGTACTGCTAGGAAGAAGATGGATTACTTTGAATTTTATTAGTAAGAAACCAAAGAAATGTCAGTGAACACTATCCATTTCTAAACTAATGCAAGTTTATCACTGGTTTGGGATCACAAACAACTTCTGTGCAATGCCTGAAATACCTGACCCTCACTGCTGGGCTGAGCCCTCATGTCAGGCCCAACCCAGAGGCTGAAAACCAAACACAAAGCTGAAGCTGTCTAAACAGCAAGTGTGACTCCATACCCCAGTCATCGCCTTTGTTATTCTGTGGAGGAGATGGTCACTGTTTCTGGCTTAAATGGAATTAATCAATACATGATTGGTCTGTGACATGCAAGTAAATAAGATTAGAGCGAGTCCCAGCTGTGCAGAGGGCAGTGCAACAAATCGATAACCTTTCAAAGACTTCACCCGACAACAGGAAAATTCACTATTCTTCCTGATGACAGCACAGTGAGCTTCTGTCAATAACCCAAAAGTTTCTGCCATCAAATTTTACATGAAAATAAAAGCATTCATCCAATGACTGATGAAAGAGCAGCTGTGGCTGCCCCTGGATCCCTG